ATCGATGATTTTGAGTTTAGAATCTTCCCCTGTTTTGCACATCACTGGACTTAACATTAAAAGTGGAAGAGGATAACGATATAATTTCTGATATAATTCAGACTTTTTATATGTTTACCTTAATTATTATTAAGAAGACTTTAATTAGAGTATCAAACAAATGAAGCCAAGGTACCTAGAAGTTATAAGAAAGTTGACTGTAATGGAAGTAAGTCATGGTGTTATTATTTCATATAACTTAATAAGTGATTCTTATAGTTATTTTTACTGTGTAGCAGTACATTTTAAATTTACATTTAAGTGCAGTTTTGGAGTTCACAGTATTTTACACAAATGAAAATAATGGACATATTACAGAGGGCATTTTATTTGAACATCTATATATAACATATATATATGCTAGGCAGTGTTTCTATAATCTAGAAAATTTGGGTTTATTGACCAGCTTGGTGCCCTTCTCTGGATACCATGAAACCACCTGTTTAAAAATCTTACTGTTTATAAATGTGAGGTTGGAATCCAGTGGTTCTTTTCTCTAGTTCTCTCTCCCTCCCTCTCTCTCTGGCTTATAAATTTACTCTTAAGTTGCCTTTATACCTTCTCATGAGTGAAAAGACATACAAAAGATTTTTTATTTCAAATCTCTTTTAAAAAAGATTTTATTTTGTATGTGTACGTGTTTTGCCTGTGTGTTGCAAGTGTGCTTGGTGCCTGGGGAGTCCAGAAGAGAGTATTAGATTCCCTGGAACTGGAGTTATAGACAGATTGAGTTGCTGGGTGGGTGCTAGGAATAGAATCTGGATCCTCTGTCGGAGTGCTTTTAAGCACTGAGCCATCTTTCTAGCCCTCCACCTTTTTAAAATGGTACCAGCAACAGAACTCAGGGCTGACTGTTAGAAAAGTTCTCCATCCCTGAAATGTTTTTAAACAGTAGCTGATTGACAGGGTAGAAGATGTGTTTTTCCTTTTTGCTTAGTATTAGCTTGGAGTTAATAAAAATGTTGCTGTCACCAACATGGAACTTAGGACAATTACTGTTTAGTTCCAGCTTTTATCCTAAATGAGGCCTCAACATAGCTTGTGCAGTCTTAAGTCCAGGTCACAAAGATGAAAACCCTAAGGATATCTGGAATGGAATGTGTTCCCAAGAAATATGGCCCTGGTGTCTTTCAATTGCAGAGAATGGCTGTTGTAATGTCCTTTCTTTCCAGAACACAACTGAAACAAGACTCTTTAGAATATGACTTCATGGCTTCCTACTGTTTTTTGACCTTGAGAACAGTTACACCTAGATTGTTAATAGTCTATATATTGGTGGGAAAGATGTTTTGACTATATGGTTATAAATGACCTTGGTGGTGGTGTTGTGAGTTAGAGTTGTAGTCTGAGTTCATTTATTATTAAGAATAAATTTTAAAATTGGGAAAGTTTTTGACTTTAGAAAGTAAACTGTCTTAGTGTTCGAGCTATTTGTGATAGTCCCTCAGTAAAGTAGGGCAGCAGTTGGATTTGAATAAATGAGCACTTCAGATAAGACTAAGATTATTTTGGAACAAACCCTTGCCAAATGCATGTTGATTCATCTTACTCTCGTAATTCCCTTTTCTGTATTTCTGAGTTGTATTCAGCACCACTTCCTGCCTCCTTTGCCCCTAATTTGGCTCCTTTGTACATGAAACACTTTTGCCATCATTCACCAATGCTAGCGATAGAGGTGGAAAATTAGTTTAACATAAACTGCACTGTCAAAAGCAAGTTTATAGACACATTTACATTGTTTACCTCATTTCAAGGCCAGCAGACATTACAAACAAGAATGTAGGTGGATTCTTGTTGGTGTTGACATTTAAAAAGAACAGGTGATGCCCAACGAACTTTTTTACTTTCCTGCCATAATAAACATTAATCTCCACAAGCCAAGCATATGTCGACAAAACTATACTTGCTCAGCAGGCTATTGTTTGGTGGTCATCAGCTCTAAAATGATTACCATATGCATCCTAACTTCATTTTTAACTTCTGTTCTGATTAAGTACTCCTGGGCTATGGGAAAGAGTTTGAATGTATAAATGCAGCTTTCTTTGAAGGCAGACTTTAGTTCTACGAATCCACTAGGATTATTACATTATGTATCTTAACAGCTCACACATGCAGTTTCCACTGTCCCCCAGTGGATATTGCAGCTGCAACCTGAATTAGGTTATCGGAACCTAAAATTGTGTCTGCTAGGTTTTCTTTCCAGAATGCAATTAATTAAATTGAGGTGCTCTTTTTCCCCCTAAATTTAAATACCTCAGTAAAATCTCATTTTTCTTATAAAAAATTTCAAATCCAGTCTTTAATCTTAGAAATACCTTTATATCAATGATGGTTAAAACTTATCCACAGTAGATAGGACCCTATAAATATACCACCTAATTATATTTTTTCTTGCCAATGTATGAGATGTAGTAACTATTGGTTAAAGTGCAGTAGAAGTTGTTTTTTTTTTTTTTTGGAAAAAAGTACACATCCTAAATACTAATTTTGATACTCTCAAAATTTAAAATATACAAGTTAACTGAAATATACAAACACAGGAAAGGAAATCAGTTAACTTATTAGATATGACACACACTGTAGAGTAAATATCTTATTGGCACACGTTAAGAAACTAACACATCTCTAAGAAACAAAACCTCAACAGTCCCCACAATTAGAAGTTAATAGTGTTTTAAAACAAAACAGAAAGGCCAGTTCTACCTAGAAACCACTAGCTGACAATTCTTTGGAGTCTAGTCTCCCTTTCATGCTGTTTATTGGACCAGCACAGGCAGCGTGTAGCACTGAAGAGCAAGATGACAGGCAGGCTGATTTGCCTTATCTGATAGCTGGTAGGGACTGCTGACCATATCCCTCAGCTCAGTGGGGGAGATGGTGTGAGATCCTGAGGAAGGTCAGGAATCTGTGCAGCAGCTATGGTAGCAAAGTGGCACCTGGAGCTTCAAGGAGGCAAGGGTAAGGACAGCAAAGCAAAGGGGTTAAGCACCCGACTGCACCTCTGCTGAATAGGGGCCGTGCCCCTTCAATTGGTTTTGAGATGGATTTAGTATTTCTAGATACAAAAAGGAAATTATAATAACAGTAAAACAAAACATGAAGAATGTGGCTATAAAAGACTGAAAATAATAGGAACTTCACTCCTTTGGAGGGGGTGGGGAGCATGAGGGAGCCATATTTAGGGTCATCTCTGAGAATGAGGAAATTACAATTTGTCTCTTGAATTCCAGAACAGATGATGGGGATTTGACTTAGAGCCGAGTTGTAACTTGTCCTTCCTGTCCGTCACCCCATTTGTGCATGAGCAAGTCACAAGCCTCTCCCCAAGTTTCAAATACATCCTCTGATGACTCTAAAAGTTTAGAATTTGAGGAGCAGATGCCAGATGCACCGTGAAGAGAGCTGGAACAGGCCAGGGCGCCTTCACTGCTCCCAGCAGCACCCCGGATTTCACCTAACTCTACCTCACTAAGGTTCATTTCACTTTGAGAGCAGGCCTCTGCCTTCCCTCTCTCCATCTGAGAATATCTGATGTCCTGCCACATATAATGCTGCTGTGCGATGCCGTCGGAGATCGTGTACATTGGCTCTGAAGTGGGTTCAGAGTTGTGGCCGTTAAATTTTGAGAATAGGAGACCCAGTTTCTTGAACGAGGGACCCATGAAGGACCGTTTGCTTGATGACTCAGCTTTCGACTTTCCTTGAGCGTCACCGGCTCTTGGCATGGTTCTGATGAGAGGTGCCCCATGACAGGCCTTTTTCTTGCAGCCTAAATTGAAAGAGACACTCTTAGACTTGGCCCGAGCCCCTCCACTGCCATCATTGGTATCATCCCTTTGAGAGAATTCAGCGCTGCTAGTGGAAAAGCTTCTTCTTGGATGTTTTCTGTTTCCCAAGAGGTCAAGCACTTCATAGCGAAAGCTGGAGATGTCCTGCTTTAATTCCTAGCAAAAGAAAGGAGACATGCTTTGTCAGAAAAAAATAGTCTTTAGTTTAAAGAAGACACTTGGGATTTTGGATAGGCTAAGTTTTACATAGTAGTAAGTCATGAAGCACACATTATACTTTCAAAAAGCTTCCATTAGCCAAGTCCAGAAAGACTACTTTGTGGCCTCTGGAAAAACTGCAGTGGGCCAGGTTGATTTCAGGACTTGTGGACCAGGAACAGAAACTAATTTCCAATAAAGTGATAACTGGGCTGGAGAAATGGCTTAGCAGTTAGGAGCAGTGGCTCCTCCCTCATATGACCGGGTTTCAATTCCCAGCATGTACATGGAATCTCACAACTGTCTGTAACTTCAGTTCCAAGGGATCTGACCCCTGTTCTGGCCTTTACCTCCACCAGGCACACGCCTGGTGCACATACACACATGCAGGCAAATATACATATAGGCAAAACAACCCCACACTCAAAATGTTCAAAATAAAGTGGTAGCTGACAAGCTATTTGATTTGAGTACTGGCTCTCATGAGTAAGTAAAAGGACAACTGAAGAAGAAAAGACCGTTAGGACCCGGGAAGGATCGGGTAATAAGATTGCTGCTTTGGGATGGAGTGCAGAATCATTCAAGCAAATATGATTTGCCTTCTATCCAGCTGCGTGAATACCATTAACTTGTTCCTTTACAAGTTTTCAAAGCTTAAATCTGATCACGTCACCTCCTCCCTGCTTAACACATCTTAGTAACATCTCTGTCTTAGGAAATGCTATAAATGCAGTATCATGGACTACAGGGCCTCTCTATACCTGGTACCTCTCCGTCTCCATTTTCCTTTCTTCCAACTCCCTCATCCTCCAGCTGCTCCCTATACTCACAGACGGACACACAATAATAACTTAGTAAAATAAGTTGTCTGTGGATTAAGATAATAGAATTTCTGTGTGCCTTACAGGGGTGTGTCATTGTGTGTCTGTGTGTGCATACATCATGCATCCTGAGATAGGGTTTCTTATTCTAGGCTCTACTGATGTCTGGCAGGTTAGGTTTTTTTTTTCTTTTTTTTTTCTTTTTTTTTTATTTTATGGAACACTATCTTGTTAATTGTGGGATGTTTAGTAGCAACCCTCTTTGTACCCACTAGATGCCAGTATCACAACATTTCCAAACAGCCAAATGTGCCCTATATAAATGCCCCTCTGGGAGAATAATTCGTTTAGGCAGATACCAACAATGGGAAAATTCTACTATTTAATTGTAGTTTCTCTAGGCTTGAAATTTAATAGTATATATTTTGGTCTTTATTGTCCATCTTTAATAAAAGGCCTTAAAGACCTCCAGGCATTTTCGGTTTGCTGCCTTACCCCTTCCCATGCATCTGTGCTATATCAGTTAAGTGTTACTCTCACACTGATAATATTTTAAAAAAAGGATATGTAGGAAGGGTTCATTTTGGTTATAAAACTGATTGTGACAGACATCTATTACAACCTCTCAACCCAAAATTTCACCCCACCCCAACTTGAGACAAAGAATTATAGGCAATAGTGACTGCTGGGAGGAGAATGAGCCTCTCCCAGGGATGAGTCCCCTTATTGGTTGTCCATTGCAAAATGGTCAGCCCTGAAGGCATATAGATGTAAACAACAAAAACTCAAAAAGCTGCATTTATATATTTATATCATATATTTATATATTTATATTTATATACACACACATATGAAACAAAAAATAAAAAAGAATCTATCAAGTTGAGAGTTAGGGGATATGGAAGGGATACGTGAGGGAGTGAAGCTGGGACGAGCAGGAGGAAGGAAAGTAATATTCTGTTTCAATTACAAGCATTATTATTTTTAGAAAAGGAAAAAAATTCTCTCCATATACTGGGTGACAGATAATTCTAAGATAGGATTAGAGTTGCAGGGGCT